TACAAATGCATCGCTTAAATAGTTTCCATTCACGTTTAGGTTGTGAAAAACATTGCAAGCTTAAACTCTCTATTGTCTGGTAACACGTCTTGACGAATCAGGTGTTCATTATCAAGGCGTATAGGGTATGGCCAGAGTAAAACATCAGTCGAGGCAAAAGCTGAAAGAGGTTATATTACCTAGTAGACGTTATAACTTCAACAGTTTGAATTGAAAAAATATCTGAACAAATGTGTTTCTGTAATATTTGGTGAGACACTTGCTTAGCCAACCCCGAACCGATCAAAAATGTTGCACAATTACCCAGTTGCGAGTAGGCAGTTACCAGTTTCACCACCATGTGGCTCATTCGGGTCAATTAACATGGCAGGTTTATTAGAATATGTTCCCTTAACCTGAATTTTATCAGTTTAAGTGGTTCAATTTTCTTTTAATCCTTATGTGTCTAATAATCAAAAAATGAAAATATGTCCAGCAAAAGAAAATATTATCTGCCCAACACAAAAAAAGATAGTTCACTTTTTGGATTTTATAACATGGGGGAATCTCCCCGACCTAGAAGTCACATTTTCAAAAGAAGATTATTTTTTCAAATGGTAAATACTTTTTTAAACCACATTTCTAGGTGCAAATTTACATGCAGACTTCAACTATATCATTTTAAGTAAATTTTGAACATACGACGTGATTCAAGATTATTTCTACTCGCCGAGTATATTGGTTTTATCCATCTTTAATAACTTTAATTTTGTCAATTTGCATTTTTTGTCTCGTGTACTAGGCAACTTTTTAAGCTCCTAATCTTAAAGTCCCCGTCTAAAGTTTGAAAACATTTTTTTATCATTCATTTACTATTTGTCAGGACTTAAAAAGTGATTTTAGAGATTTTTGAACATAAAATTTTTTTTGAAAAAAAAGTTGTGAGCATTTCATTTCTCAAATATTCAAATTTCCCGCCATTTTTCAAAAAAAGTTGAAATTTCTTAATCATCAAATATTTCTTAATGCATTTCAAAAAAGATTATCTTTTTAACACCAATGCAAAGGTTGAACAAAGGACACACTATTTCAATAATAAAATGACATATTTAATGGGCCACTTCAATGTTTTAGCATATCAAAAATATTTTGAAACATTAGTGATGTCACTAAGGTACCAAAAACTTTTTGAAAAAAATTGAAATTTCTTTTTCGATGTCAATCTTTTCTAAATATGTTAGACTTTCATAAAAACCAATGTTGATTGTCTAACCAGGTTAAAGGGAAGAATAAATTATGTTTTAGATATCATTGTACCATTGGTTTCTATGAAAACTAAAATTTTGAAATGCATTTTTCTCAGAACCATTTTCATGCACTGATAAGTTCATTTCTCGCTTATTTATGAACCGATTTTCTTAATTTTTTCGGCAAAAAACACGGGAGGATGAATGCTATGCATTGGTATGAATTTTTGCTAATTAGAAGATATGAGTGACCTCTAAAAGTTGGTTTTAAATAAATTCACAAATTTTGGAACAAAAAGTCTATCAAAAACCACTTTTTGAAATTTAAAAAAAAAGTTTCACATATCACACTTTGATAACATTGGGTAAGACTACAATATAAGCCAAAGTGGTTTAAACTTTATATGGGGCCTTTAATTATTCCTTTTACAATGTGGCGTGATCCGACTAAATATTTACTATTAAACAAGGCGATGATTGATGAACATCTTGATTCTCAAGGTTTCACGTTCTCCAACGTGATATTTTATAACAACCTTGAAAGTCGAGGATGGGTAATGAATATTCATAGAATAAATGTTTATTGTTGTTAGCAAACACGAGATGATAATGAAGTTAAAAGTCAAATTGACAGCGAAATCAGTAATCAGCTGGGCTATTTCCTAAGTCCTAATAGAGAAACATTTTTTGTTTAGTATTTCTTTAGGAAAATACTTTTTACAAAATCATATACACTGTATTTATGTATTCAAGATGTTCTCACATATATCCAGGAAGTGAAAGTCTGCGTATTTGTAAAATTCGGTCATGGCATTTACGTTGGTGGAATTCCCTCAAAACGTTCACATAAACAATGGCCAATAATCTTGCAATCTCATCCTCATTCTGGTAAATATTTTGAAGAAAATTCGAATTTACGTGTCAAAAAACACGTTGGGAAAACTCCAAAGAAACGGAAATTTCCTTTGTTGAGAGATTCACAGGCGTAGTGTTTTATAATTGATCATAATTTCAAAATCAAGTTGTGTTATATCGTTAGGGTATGCTTAAATTAAATGTTGAGACTATATAATGTATTTAGCGTTTATTTAGTCTAAGGATGTTGCAGTTGGCATTTGAAATGTAGAGATCTAGATCACTTTAGCATGATGAAAGAAATGTAATCTGTATTTTGACTTTATTATGTCACTATCATTTTCATGTTCAGCACGTCTTGAAATAGACCTATTTTTGTTTTGTACTTGAAGTACATGTGTCTTAAGAGGGGGGGGGGGGGTTCTGGGGTAAGAATATTCGTAAGTGATTAGTGAGGCAGTTTTAGTCCGTATTCATATCGATACTGTACCTCTAAGACCCTTCATATTAATAATAGTGGAATAAAGGAAAACCAACATCATCTTCATTCACAAGGTTCCAGTTGTTCCAAGAGGGGGTAGTGGGGTCGCTTTTGTCACTTTTAAGATTTCAAAATTCTCACTTTATCACATTTAAAATTTACTTGTCATATTTTGTCAGATTCGTTCCTTTTTAGTCAGTCAAAGTATTTAATGCACTAAATAGTTTGTTATGTTCCATTGTTTGATTGCTGGTTAGAATAAGTCATCTTAGCTAGCATCAAATACATTCAGAACGAATTATCTATTTTTGTCACTCTCAAAACACTTGTCAGTCCGATAAATGTGCAAAATTGTCACTTGCAAGGATTGATTTGTCACATTTGTTTTTAAGTACCCCAAAGTCCCATTTAGTCCCATTTTTAGAGGCCAGGTCGCCTCATCACATACCCCTTGGGAAGCCCCATTGTGTTATATCACATTGGAAGTCGAAGATGAACCAACATGGGAATATACATTCAAAGGTTCGTCTATGTGTGGCCATGATGCCACGACTATTTTCCATTGTCTTTAGAAGGGGAAGATTCTCGGGTCGATGCCACCCCTCCGGCGTTACCAGTTCTCATATACTATAGGTATGGTCCTCTTATTCTCTAGATCTTCTATTTTCTTTCTTCCATTTTATATCAACACCAGAAGTAGTGACAGTATTGTTACAGTCGTCTTTTTGCGCACTATAATGTTCGGCGGTTGGTGTTCGGCGGTCGGTGTTCGGCGGTCGGTGTTCGGCGGTCGGTGTTCGGCGGTCGGCGTCTGTAACAAATGGCAGCAGGTGGTGTCATTTTGCATATTAATGCTTTGCATTTAACATCACACATCTCATCATCAATCATGTGTCCACCTCTACCTTAACCAACCAAATGCACATGACCTAGAATTAGGACTATACTTGGACCATTCAGTAACGATTAGTACATTATTATTCTAACCAAATTGCCATTTGGAAGGGCACCTAGACAAACAAAATTCCTCAATTACGATTGTAAAGTTGTAGGTTTCAAAACCGCATCTTTTTGCTCTTAAAGTACTTACAGGGTGTTCAAAATTGAAAGGAGATAATACGTTTTTGGTCCTTGTAATATGCGTTTAAAAGAAGAGCCGAATATAAAGAGCAATCTTAATGGTAAAATCTAAAACCGTCCAATGATTCGTGAATTATTCTCAGTTTTTGATACCCATTTATCATTATTGATTTATAAAAATTACATCATTTGATAAAAGGTACGGTCTTATGTAAGGGACTATTTTTTCAATTCAATGAGTTGTTGAAAGTGCACTAATCTCTTAAAGGTACTCAATTTGGCATCCCCTGACAGTCTGTTTGCATTTTAAAGCCTGTTTGTGTTTTGTTATTCAGTTCTTCTTCCATAGTCACAATAGTTTTTTTTACCTTTTGATTTTATTAAAGCTTACCAAATAAACGTGACCCAAAAGGAAATGGCACATTATAACTGGAGACTGATATCATCGAATGTATGAACAGTTGTAGCAATATGCGCCAAAAAGGCCTACAAATGGTCAATCCAATTTGAAAAAATAATTTTGCGTTACCCTATATTGGTTAATATTCGTGGTGAGAGTATCTTGGGTCTTGAAGCAATATCTTAAATTAGGACCAGTCGCCTGATTATTCACTGCTTCTGTTATATGGACGATTGCCAATTGTAACGGTTCTTGATGTTTTGGATTGCATCAGACAATATACGTGGATGATACAATGCACGTCACTCCTAAAACAGTTTAACCCTATTAAAACACGAACTAAACTTTAAAAATCTCTTGCGTATTCCAAAAACTTTTATTTTTATTTTTGTTTGTAATTTTGTATGCAAGAGATCGAAACCTTCTATAGTTTCCTCCTAGAATTATATCCGCACGGCATGAAACTCAGTAGTTTCTCGAAGCACGACATCTCTCGAACGCATCCCAGGAAAAGTGAATCCATTAAAAACCAACAAGGATGCAACTTTCATCTCTATAAATCGTAAATATTTACAAAGTTCTACATTATCTTCACAACGCAGGAAACTCGACTGTTTCAAATCCAGGAAAAATGTAATCAATTAGAGTCAACAAGGAAGTAACTTTCATCTCATTTTTAAAATCATTAATTAATGCAAAAATCGTAAATATTTACAAAGTTCTTCATTGTTGACAAATCCTTACAGAACATTTGGAAACATGGATAAGTGAACGGAGCAGAAACAGTCACTATATTGCCAGCACGTTCTCTACATGTGCGCAGTTGAATCCATGCCATCGCGAACCATCCTAACATCTATACATACAAAGATAGCATCTGCAAGTCCATTGCCGAATCCAATGTCAATTCACGCTTCATAAACTTTGAAAAGAACTGACCATACCTGTTGGATGTTAATGATTCGAAATAACTTGGCAATCATTTTTGATGGATTATATTTTTTGGAACGATAGCGCGTTGATCTTAAAGAAAATCAAAGCCGTGAAAAACCCGTGAATTCAGAGCGAAGTCATTGACATATAACGTGACGTTTAGTAATTGGCTGGCTCAGCTACCAATTTTGATAACCGTAAGAGTTTAAAATAAACTTGGTAACATGCAGATACTCACTTCAGACACATCGCACGACTATACAACATCCAAATAAAGGAATTCAGTAGTCTGGGACCGAATTCAGAAATACAGATAAAACTAACAGACATAATAAATATTGGCAACTAGTGGGTAGTATAAAAGGTATCTGCCAGACAGAGGGAACACTATTCGACGTTTAGACAATCATGAGTGACAGTAAAAGAGTGGCAATCATCGGTGCAGGGGCAAGCGGACTTGCAGCGATAAAGGCCTGCTTGGATGAAGGACTCAAACCAGTATGTTTCGAAAGGGATGGAAGCATTGGGGGACTATGGAACTACACAAGCGAAACCACGCCAGACCACGCGAGTGTTTACAAATCTTGTACGATCAATACAAGTAAAGAAATGATGGCTTTTAGTGACTTTCCCGTCCCAGCTTACTTCCCGGCAAACATGCCCCATAATTATGTCTTAGAATATTTCAAAATGTACGCGGAAAAGTTCCAGCTCTTGCCGTATATCAACTTTAATCGCACCGTTGATTCCGTGCGTCCCGCTGACGATTTCAAAGCAACTGGTCGCTGGAAGGTAACAACACGGAATTCAGACGCGGCGGAGTTCGAATCCAAGACGGAGGAATATGACGGAGTGATGGTTTGCAGTGGACACCATTGTATACCCCATCGACCGCATTTCCCAGGGATCGGGCGGTTTCGAGGACACGTTATCCATTCCCAACAATACAAAACACCAGATATCTTTACCGACAAAAAAGTTCTAATTATAGGTAGGTAGTCCTTATTTTACTGATGTGCGATTTACCGCAAAAACCGATTTTGGTCGCTCTGTCAGACCACAGGATGGTCTTGTTACGTTCCTTACAGATCGATCAATGTACAGTAGACTGGCTGGTTTCTTAAGTTCAATGTTCAACACCGAATTCATTTGTCTATTTCAAATAATTGAATCATATAATTTGAACCAGAATTGAGTGGGAAAAAGCACGCTTTCAGTTAAGCCTTAATAAAAATTATTTACTTGCATTGTTATTTTGAAGAGAATTGATAATGGAGGAATGAACGATATCGTTCTTCTGACTATCTTTGTTAATTGCATCGTTTTTTGAAAATAATTGTTAGATGGAGGAATGCACTACACGTACTGTTATTCTATATACATTCTTTGTGAGCACATGTTGTAATTGAAACCAACGAGGTAGCTGAGAAAAAATTCTGACCATTTCATGGTTAACCGCAGCCCTTGTCGTGCGGGCCCGTCAGTGTCATGGTAACGCGTATTTATTGTGTACACAAGTTAAGGTCATGTGCTCTTTGACACCTTCTCTTAGTGGTCGTGGGAATTTTGTATATGAAAGGGTGGCTTGTTATTCTTTCGAGCTGGTCTTTTTAATGATGGTCAAGAGCAGTCCCCCGGCAGATTTTTCTGCTGCGTCTCTGTAGTAAATAAATATAGGTTATTTACTGGGAGGGATTGAATATGGGTTTTATTCCGAGGGACAATATGATATTGACCGAAGGGTAATATGATATTGACCGAGGGAGCGCAGCGACCGAGTGTCAATATCATATAACCCAAGGTCAATATCATATTTTCCGAGGAATAAAACCCATATTCAATCCCGACCAGAAATAACCTATTTATTCCATAATACACCCCTCTAAAATGCTACATTTGGATAATGCAAAAACGGGAAAAAATAACCGGGAAACCGAAAATAGGTTAATATGCTCCAATACGATTTTTTTCCCGGGGACAATACGATTTTTTCATGTAATACGCTCTAATACGATTTTTCCCGGGGACAATACGATTTTTTCATGTAATACGATTCAATACAATTTTCATTCCTTCATATTTCCCTGGGAAAACAGTAGTATTATGGAATAATACATTTTTACATTTTATACTCACCTTAATTAAATGGAAAGATCTTGCTGGGGTCAGTACGTTGTTTCACCAAAAATAGAAATACTATTCAAAATGTACCCCGAGGGGCAGAGCCAGTACTCATTTTGAAGCTTTAAATTCAAACTATTAAAAATGGTATTCCTTGTGGTATGGGGGCAGGTATCCATAGCTCATGTTCTTTCCTTAGATACCGGTGTAAAAGGGTAGGAAGTCCTATCAAATTATGGTCCTACTCTTCATTGATTTATATGGTGACCTAAATACAACTCTTTCCCTTATTATCTTATACACAATCAGGGCCAGTAAGGGCCGTTTAGAAAGGGGACCATAATCCCCAGGGAACCATAATTTCTTTCATACCGGTAAATCTGAGTGTTTTTTACGATATTATTGATAATGTCGTCTGTGGTTCTTTCTTTTTCATCGCAACTCCTACATGGCTATATTATTGCTTAATAGAATTGATATTAACGATTCGTGAAACAAATAAATTTGCAACTTTTTGGAAGATGGCATAGTCCCTCATTAGAATGATATATTTACTTATTACACCCCCCCCCAAATACCGAAATATCCCAAGCAATAACTTCGTGCAATTTCACACGGTTGTACGTTTATACCCACTGTTCCCGTTGACTGTCTAGCCATATCTCTGTAATATTACTAAATAAAGTCAACTTTGCATAATATAATCCTTTTATATAATTATTTGTGAATAATATATAGTAATATGGTCAATGTACAACGCGCGTGTTCACACTGTTGATGGCAAAATCCCAGACTTGAATTACATGTAGATTGTGAAATTTCGCAGTTTTGCATTTATCGAACGAGATGAGACACTCCCACAGTCGTTTTTTCGACCAAAAATATGGCAATAATGTCCCTTTATGCAGTTTAGTATCCTCTTGGCTTTCAGTTTTGTCTCATCTATTTAAATGCCTCGCCTACTTTTGCTTGAATTAGCTTATTTTAGGGATCGCATTTTAATAGTCAATTAAGAATTGTACATGATTTCCCAAATCAAATTTTACTTAAATATTAGATACAACAAACTTGACTTATATTATCGCGCATGTGAATGTTGTATAAAAAATATATATACTCGAGTCGAAATATCGTCACGTACAAAAATTATCTCCGTAACGGCCGGACAGTGCCTCTTTAAGAACTGCGTTCGATTCAAGGACGGTTTTTATACTCAAAGCATTTCTCGTCTTAAGTATTTGCTTTTTTGTTCATTACTTATACTTATGCTATGGCCACAGCACTTATCTTACGCACGATCTCTCGAAAGAGATACAAAAATGACCAGACAATATTTGACAATTTGGTTAAGTAAAACTAGGTAACATTTAATGGCATGGCAAAATAGGCAAATCTCCAAATGTCATTCCGACCTAGCTAGATATAAAAAACTTGAGTTCGTAATCACTTGAAAATGTATAATTATCGTTGGGATTTTGACAAATCACTTGTAAAGGGTTGATTATATATTCATTTGGTAGTAGCAAACGTTTATTATGACCATAGTTTGAAAATTCATGATTTCAATTGTTTGTTAAGCTCATTCAAGTCCTTAAATAAACATTATGATCTACAGCTAATATTAAGTACAATCAACCAAAATAATGTTATGAATTACAAAAACTTATATTGATAACAAATTCTAAAAAACTTCAAATACAGATTACACATAGTATAAAAAATTTGTGGTGTCCAAAATTACTTCACAAAATACTTAAATGTACTTATGCACACCCAAACAAATACCATTGTCATGTACATGTATGTCTATTTTTGTCACATAATCAAATGACAATAACAAATCACTTTAATTGTAAGATTTCTTTCGACTTAATGGTTAGATAAGGGAAGAGTATATTTTGACATATGAGCAAAGGCAAAACGCATTCAACGACCCCACTGGTATTGAAAAACAATATTTTAAGTGTGAAGATGACATCAAGACACCGTGTCATTAAATAACACCCCCTCAAAAAAGCTTGCAAACTGGATTCCCCATTCTGACCACGTGTGTGCTAAAGCCTGTTTATTCCTGCGATTTTAAAAAATTCAACAATATTTGTAAAAACTTTCAGAACCTTTATATTTAAGGTACACAATTATGATTTAAACAAAATCAGGCTTTGACACACTATCTATTCAGAACTCACATTTTCCAAACTTATTAAGGGGGTGTATCCATGCCGATGCTAGACTGATGGATTAAATTGTACTAGTGTAAAGCACCAAAGAACAGACTGACACAAAAACATTCAAATATTTAGTCTATATTACGGAATCTTGATCCAAATGTGCACATCTAAAAAATGTTGACAACATTTTGCTGGAAATTAAAGGGGCATGTACTGTTTGATGAACATCTTTGTTTCAAATTCGGAAGGAAACTAATATTTGAATAAAATTAAATGACATTAAGAACACCCGTTAAAAGTATTTTAGAGTATTTTCAAGTGGATATACATTTGTTTCTACCACTCTAGCTTGTTCTCTTTGCATGCATTGTGTCTCATTATGGTTTCCATAATGGGCGGGAGTTAACAGCAGAAGACGCTTACGGATCCACCCGGTTTTGCACAGTGCATGCATTTAGACTCGAGAAGCTACAGAGCGAGTAAGGAACAAAGTGGGGTAACAGCGCATGAGCGTTTAATTCAACATTTAATTCAACATTCACAATGGGACGTTCTAAAGTAAATGATGTCTGGAGTGATTCATACGATATTAATCGAGATAAAACATTATTTCGAAATCCCTCTACATTCATTGAATATAAATGAAATGAGAAGATGACCTTAAAACAAGTATCCAATGCCCTCCATGTACTTGCAATTTTCAGTCACAAACTCCGTCACATTGCGGTTACGCGTTAACATTTTACAGAGTGAGGTTGACAAACTTATCTATCAGCACAAATTGTGGTTTTGTACTTCCGCGATTTGTAAAATATGTAAATTATGTGACCTTACACGTTGAATTCTGACATTTAATCCCCGGGCAATTCAATCAATGCAATAGACTAGATGCGAGTAGAAATGATCTTGATTTACGTCATAAATATACAAAATTCAGTTAAAGTGATGGCATGTTTGAAATCTACATGTAAAGGTACATCTAGAAATATGGTTTCGAAAATTGTTTATCAACTTTGAAATTTTAATCTTTTTTGAAAATGTGACTTCTAGTTCGGGTTGATTTCCCATAGACCCCATATTACAAAATCACAAAAAGTGAAATATTTTTTCTTGTATTGGACATATAACATTTTCTTTTACTGGGCATACTTTAATTTGCATAGCTATTCGATACATAAGGACTATATGAAAATTGAACCACGCAAATAGATGTAATTTAAGTTAAAGGGAACTTTCTACTATACCCGCCATGCTATCTGACCCGAACGAGCCACCTGGTGGTGAAACTGGTAACTACCTACTCGCATTTGCGTTATTGCACATCAGCAATACCTTTTGTTGCGAGAAATGCACTGAACGAACTGCTACATGAGAGATCAAAATTGCGAAACGCATGCGTAATATTGATACGACTGAGATAATTTAATTTATTTAATTTAGGGTTAAATCGTCTTTTGATATTGTGGTTACAATAAAGAAAATTTGAAATTCCTCATAAGGTTAAGCCCCGATAGGACGTCACTGATATAAATGAGGACATGGTAAAGGAATGTCAATTTAGAAAATGGTATTTTACATGATGATCATGGGCGGACCTGGGAACCAACAAGGACGCGGAAACAATCTTTTGGCCCCTAAATCCAAAAAGTGGGCCCAAGTTTTGAAAATTTGAGGTCCATTTTCTTCAAAATTTGCCAGTGATGATACACTTTCTTTGTAATTCTGTAATGTTGAACAAAGGCATGATAGCTCAATACTCTGACGTAGTATCTCTAATCTACTAGGCTATAGAAGAAAATGGGAGGGTGTCTTTCTAGAGAAGATATAAATGGGCAGGTCTGAATATTGATCAAGGCGGTGGAGGGGGGGGGAGGCAAGTGTTATTAAAAATGCCTTACCTACAGCTTTAGAAAATCCAAAGGTATGACACTTTCCCTAAAACACATGACTTATAACACTTGATATACACGTGAGTTCTAAGATAATATAACTTCCTTTTACAGAAATTACGTATGTCAAGAAACTGTGTCCTCTTTATTCTTTTCATGGTCATTTGAGGTCAAGGTTCCATACCACAAAATTGCATCCAAGATGGTGGTCAAATCCGGACAAACTTTGAATGTCATGGAGTATCCGATTAACAATGTATTCCTTTCAACTTTCAAATCAATTAATTCAAAGTAATGTTAGATATGAAAGGTCGAGAATGTTAACCATCTAACCACTTCAGTGCAACAATTGTTATAATTATGTCCCATTACGATACAAATGGTGACATGCCAATTTAATTATGCAAGGTTCAAAAAGAACATTTGAGTACATAACGTTATAAGGTTTTAAATACGAGTTTCGAAATGCATCTCAACAAATCTTTCAAATGCTTACTGTAATTTATTGGACTCTCTAAAATTTGCATTTTTACCAATCCTTGTTTAACATAAACCAGTCCATCTTCCGAATAAACGACCAGCGCAATAAACAGCCGCACCAGCTCCGAAATATGTTTTGCTTCAACTGATCTTTTTAAGGAAAAGGTTTCATAAATGTTAATCTGACAGGAAGAAATGGGATTTATCATAATACATAACGCACAATCAGAGTGACTATGTCACCAACAGAAGTGGTGACATATTGTTATATTCACCAATTGTTTTGTGGGTGGCGTTTGGCGGTCGGCGTTCGGGGTTCGGTGTCTGCAACAAATTCTCATAATTTTCAAAAAATGCTGTTGACATTTCGTCATATTCATGCCTTGTACTCATATTCCAATATATTCTTTGCAGGAATGGGTAATTCGGCAGTTGATATTGCCGTTGATGCAAGTCACGTGGCCGACGAGACTTACGTCAGCACGAGACGCGGGGCTTGGGTAATTAGTAGGATGGGTCCACTTGGGTATCCCGCAGACATGTTGGCTAACAGCAGGGCGATGTTCTCAATGCCAATGCAGTCACTAGAATGGATGGTAGAAAAGATGGCGCAGTTTAAATTCAGTCATGAGATGTACGGTGTGAAACCAAATCACGGGTATGTTAGTTATTTTATACATTAGGTTAAGACCGTAGTCTATTCAAGCTAGAGTTAATTTGTGAGATAATGCACGTGTTCCATCAAAGAACGAGTAGAGGTCGAGCGTTTTCTGGGCATACATCAAATGCAAGTTGGCCATTAGACTACATGTCAAAATCTTGTTTTTAATAATAAGCACGTACGAATGTATATAAGTAAATGATTCTGTTGCAGAGCCCTCCAAGCGCATCCGACAATAAACGACGAGCTCCCACACCGGATAGTGTCCGGAAAAGTCCGAATCAGGCCGAACATAGACCACTTTACCGAGAACAGTGTCGTTTTTGAAGATGGCACTGAGATCGAGGCTGATGTTGTTGTCATGGCAACTGGGTATCACTACGAATTTCGATTTATTGATGAAAAAGTTTTGAAGGTCGAAAGAAATGAAACATCTCTTTATAAATACGTCTTCCCACCACATCTGAAACATCCAACGTTAGGGATCATTGGATTGGTGCAGGCTATAGGGGCAGCTATGCCAATCGCAGAGATACAATCTAGATGGGTGACGCGAATTATAAAAGGTATGAGTAAGACTTATCACTGTTACAAAAACAATAATCCGCAGAGAAAAAAGTCCCTCTTTGATGTAATTCCAACTGTTCCTGGTCGCCTATATAAGATCACTTAAACTTAGCTGTGATTATCATGACTTTAAAAACAAGGATGGTGGAATGTGGGAAATGGGGACAATCATTACGAGAGACATCAACCAAAGTAACGATTGTCCAAGTGATAAAAGTCCCGCTGGTTCTCATTGGTAAAAGCATGGTCCCTTATTCTTAAAAAAACATGGTCCCTTATTCTAAAAAAAACCTTTTCGGTAAATAGACTAATAAGAATAATGTCACCGATTAACACACATTTAGAGGGGAGAGTTATAAACAAAGACATAAATCTCATGCTATAGTACACAACAATATGAGGTTAATTTATGTAAATCTGTCCGAAAACAAAAGTGTAAACGTCATTGCATCTTAAACTAGTTTCAGCAGTTAAACACTTTTAGTATACAGAGTACTTCAGAAATCGATCTATCCGGTTGGAGATTTGCACCACGGAAAAGAAAATTGACAAAATCAGTTTTGTATAAAAAATAAAATAGTTATACGAGAGTATAATTATTTTGTTTCCAGCATATCCAGTACTATAACGATCTTGTTCAAGGGGGGGGGGGGATGCTAAAAGCCTCGACCCTCCACAATTATTGTAATCATTTTCATAGTTTATTTTTATGCAAATAAAAAAAATTAACCAATAAAAATGATCTTGCTTTGTAGGAGATAATAGTTTACCTAGTATGGAAGTCATGTTCCACGATATAGTGAGGAAGAAGCGTTCGATGTCCTCTCAGTACACCCCTTCACAGAGGCACACTCTCCAAGTAAGTGTAACAATACAAAAAAAGTAGTTCTTTCTGCACGAAAAAGTAGTCCCACCACTGAATCAAGTACCTCCCCTTCAGTAATGACTTTAAGATATGAATTATAAACAAGTTCGTTTTTTAGTGACTTTAATTTTAATATGTGCCTTTTTCTACTTGCACACTTTAACTGTTTACCATGGTAACATGTAACCTATTGTGGTTTAGGTGACAACTGAATGTTTCTTAAACTTTTTTTTAGACTTTTTGGATTAAATACATGGATGAGATCGCAAACGAGATTGGATGTAAACCCGACCTCAAAAGGATGTTTCTAGAAGATCCGATGTTTGCGTTTCGGTGCTGGGCGGGTCCTTGCGTCCCTGCGCAATACCGGCTCTGTGGACCCGGGGCCAAATTCGAGACTGCAAAAGAAACGGTTATGAACGCTTTTCAAAATATACGTGACAGTTTCAACACACGGCAAAAACCCATACCGATTGCCAAAACCCAGATGTCATTTGTCAAACGTGACTTTACGAAAATCACTCCGCCGCTGTTTAAACAAATGGTTTTACCCCCTGCATTTAGAGGAAAAACAACGGAAGAGCGACAATGTAGAGATTTAATGAAATTGATTCGTGCTTCAAAGATGGCTACAGCTATGGAACTTGAAACGTACTCTACACTAGAGCAGCAACATATGGACACTAGGCATGAAACTCTAATCAGAAAACAATGCCGCCAATTTGAAAACAGTCCCTTAGTTTCGACCAAGAAGAGTGATAGTGCAACTAGTTACGTTCTGCTTTTAGCTTGCTTAACAAGTATTTTCGTCAGTGCTCTCTTCAACTTGTTATTTCGATTTTAGTAACATAGAATAGATCAACACGTGATTGTCTCTGTATGAAATTATGTAGTTCCGCATTGAAGTGTCCTGGAAATGGTGCCAAATATTTCATAGCCACACTGGCCAAAAATGATTAAATTCTGGATTTATTTTCAGACAAAGGCTTGACAATTTTCCAAATCTATCCCTCGTCCAGTTTGCGCCAACACTGTTACGAATAAGCTCACATGTCCCATTAGTTGGTACCAAGAATCAAGCGAAATCTTAATCCCTCCTTGATCCTCTATATGCTTTTTAGCTTTGTATGAACCTAGAAAGATAGCGTTTCTGTGACTAGCTTTTTAACCCCAAATTATTCCAAACTAAAATTAACTTTGTAATAGGGAGTACTTTGATATGATCCCTTGCATATGCTCAATCTTGTTCTTTGTTGCCAAATATGGCTAGAGATTGTATAATAAAACTGCGCATGCGTCATTCGTGTGGCATTGACAATGAAACCACTGTCAATGCCAGTCTTCGTTACGAACCGAAGGACACGGTCAATGTCAAAAATGAGTGTATATAATTAAATTATAGCACCACACTAGCTAACAGCCCATAAATGTTTGATTAATATAAGCGTGTCTCGTCAAATCATAAACCAGACGTTAAATCTAATTTTGTATTATTTATTCAATATAATTGGATCATCTTTCGTACATATCTGTTTGAAGTCACGTTGTTTGCCATGCATGTTAACTGGACACTAAAATATATTAGATCAGAGGATGATTTAATATCAGTGAGATCAGTACAGGGGATCTAAATTTTACCTGTGCAAACTGATTGGTTTTAGTCATAAATACTACGAATGTGAAAACTAGTCCCGACAATGATTCTACACGTCAATGTACGAATTCTCTTAAAACGCGTAGTCTTACCTCCCTATTGAAGCTCTGTGTTACTCTAAATGTACATGCGTTTGTTCGTTCATCTGGTTCTATAGTACAATATACTATGGACAAAGGGTTGATTCAATTCCCGGGGCTAGTATATGTACTGAACGAACCTAGCGATGACTGGGCGTGAACGTGAACATAATGATAAGCAATATATTGAAAAATGTGAAACATATCTCGTTTATAAAGATTCTTATTGCAGTAACTAATTGTTAACATTTAGAGTATATGCATTTCTTACATATCATGTAAAAGTATATTAATTTTAATATAAAATGTGTTATGAGTCCATACACTCCCCTCCAAAAGACCGCATTGCGGCAACAATAACCCTTCAATTGTTAATCATTAGTGAATTGAGAGAATCACCAGTCAACGTGACCTAATGTGAGAGATGATTTAAAAAACAAGCAAGCTATCAGATTCCAATGAGGAGACTGCGTTGCCAAATTTATGAAGGGGATTGCGTTGCCAAACTTTTGAAGGGGACTGCGTTGCTAAACTTTTGAAGGGGAGTGTTTTTAGAGTGTGTATTTATGTATGATATTGAGAGATAGTATATAATTATGCAGTAATATTTTGTATTTAGGATCGATATGTAAAAAGTAGATCGAGAAAGTGCCATAAAACGGTTAATGTGTAAGTGTGTGTGTGTGTGGGGGGGGTGTAGATGAAAGATGAACCGTGGAAACAAATAGACTGTAACTATAGTTAATTTGATATAGTAGTTTAATTGTAATGCTTTTAACCAGGGGTCCATTACCAAAGAGTTCTTCCTATTGTTAACTTAACATTACCATTACAATGGCTACGACAGTCGGGGTTTTCATAGCTAAGAATATTTTGGCAATGGACTCCCGATGACACATTATATAGAACCGGCCTTCATCGAATGCTGGAATAAAGTTCCAAGAAAATATAGTGACATTATTTTTAGAATTGATAGCTGACCTCTCAAAAATAAAAAGTACACTCCCCTTCATAAGTCTGGCTAACGGAATTCTTCTTTTAAATCATTTTTCATGAAATATTGGATGCTTTAGAATGTTGCGCTATTTACAAAATTCATTTATTTCAAAACTACATGTATAGTGATTAAATCAACAGAATAAAGGTTCAAACATTGAAAGGCTAAATTGATATGCAATCGAAAGAAAACACCCGACTGCAAAACTTATGAAGGGGAGTGTATATTGACTAAATCGTGATGATCTAGACTAAAAGTAGCAATGCTTCCGATCAGAAAAAGATTATCTTATGGATAGTTTTGGACAAACTCTTAAATTTAGTTTACAGGCATTGCTACCAGCAACCCGCGACATGGTAAATTTGGTCAATATATTTAAGCTATTTGTGAAATGGTTTATTTGAAATGACCATTTGTTTAAATAATCGACATACCTGTAAGTGTAACCATGGGCTTTCAACTCTAATTGAAAGCCCATGGTATAACTAGTATAGAGTTTATAAATCGATGGAAATATATATATTTCAATCATTCATTTTATATTTATCGAGATGTACAAAATAGATACTATCAATTTAAAATAGATATTAATTATTGTACGAAGAAGCGAAATAAAATCTAAAAAACAAACTTGTGATTTTGAGTTGCGATTCTTTTCAAAGTATAAAACTATTTAATTAACGTGACAATCAAACATCATGATCAAATCGACAGTTACAAAAATACAAAGAATTCACTCCTTTTTTGAAGTAGGATGTTAGAGCCATATTGTTCCAAGTTACCGGATCATTCCGGTGTGAAAGAAATTATGGCCCCTGGGGATTATGGTCCCCTTTCCCTACGGCCCTTAGTGGCCCTGACTGTGTATAAATAATAAGGAAAATAATTGTAATTAAGTCACCATATAAATCAATAGAGAGTAGGACCAAAATTTGATAGGACCACCTACCCTTTTACACCGGTTGTGTCCCTGCCTATGCAAGTGCGTTCCAGCTTCTCTAGATATTCAGGGGAACGAGGTCAGAAATTTGGCTAAATTAGAATCCTTTAATCAAACGTTGTAATTATGGATATACTGTATTGACAGAAAATAAAAAGATAAGAATTTTACAATTTACGTCCCCAAGAATATAAAATAAAATATTTATTTGAAATATCATGTTATATTTTACTATAGTTTACCATATATGCCTCATCTTAATTCTAGTCACATACTGTACCGAATTGTTAACTTCCGAACCCAGCGCCGAATCGTATTATTTTGTGTCCTGTCACTAAATGTTAGAATATTGAAGAGCTAAACGTTATATATTGACCATGCTGCCATTTTGAATCAAAAAAAGAAAACTATGATATTTCATACAAGCATTTCCCCGGCAGACATAATTTCGATACGGTGATCAGCCAGAAAAGCCAGGTAGCCTCATAAGCGGTAAAACAAAACTATGGAATAGACTGGTAAGCGGAACACTCTGGTTTTGAAATGTGTTATTGTGGAACGAGTCGAAGGACCCGTGGCAACTATTTTGTGTAAGTCCTCGTGACGATCTACATATATTTAAGGATTTAAGCCCTGGACTCAGTGCATTGTTTGCTGAATCATACCATGAAGGTGTTGTTTCCAAACCTTAGCATGACCGCGCAGCGGGAATGCAACGTTTAGGAAACAACGCCTGAGTGGAATGAAGCAGCTACAATGCATTGGCTTAAATTCTTTTCTTTTCACACATTGCAATTTATTTTCTACAAAATCATCCAAAAGGAACGAAATCACTAAAAGAACACATTTTCAATGACATTTTTTGCAAGGGTCAAGTCATCAAATCCAATGTGAAAAGTCCATTCGTCACCATGACAACTGTCTAACTAGTGACCTTGCATGTGTTATTGATATGTCACACACTGTGTTTGGATTGCCTGGAATCGGACACACCTTGCCTAGCTACATGTAGTAGCTGTGTGTGAATTGTCAATATGACATTCGTTCGTCCTTTGATATAGTAACTCGTAAAACACTGAGGTAAACACCTAGCAGCAAACACTTCAAGCGAGCGCAGAGATATGTCGATTTTGGCACCAGCAACACAAACGAACGAAAGTCCCACCGATCGAGAAAAAAACTTACGATTGGAACTGACTTTCGCTCGGATACATTTTGGCGAATTTGAATATATGGCGGCTCATATTCACTCCGCATCGCAAGCTCTGATACGAATATCATGGTCCAATCTTGATACGATTATATCCCTTTATCCCCGTCTTTCTCTAGCAATTCGCGTCAAGGAATGGCTCTAATCATTTCCTAGATTTCTTTTATATCATTTCAGCTACACGTATGAAATCAAGATGTTTAATTCAAGATATCCTAACAAGAAATGTTTTCGATTTTCCAATGTAACAGATGCTATTGCATAGGGAATTTTTAATTGCTTAAGAAAGAAAATCTATTTAAAATCAATTGAATTTCTGGAACAGCTGTACTGTGGTATATTGATCTTTAATAATGCGAAATACCTTCGACGTTTTTACCTTTTATGACGATTCATAAAGACGATATCAACAGTTTGCGCTCAATATTATCGCTAAGTCCAATAATTGGACAAATTGGTCCGTAATTTACATAAACCCATTTTAGCAGCGTTTTTGTAGTTGCGCCACGGACTTGTTTAAATGTCTTTTTTCATATTCTGAATTATCCCGATTTTAATTCGTTATAAAATGTAAATCGACCCATTGAGTAAACGTTGACATAAACCCTTTGTCTATTAGTAACCAAATCTTGAAATATCGCCCGGGTGCAACATGAAATATATATTATTCAAGGTTTACTTCTTGTAACCATTTGGAAATGTGCAATTATTAGGGATAGTACTATGCTACGATGTTGCTGCCTGCCTTTAACTTACTCGGTCAGTTTGTCATGTTGTATCAACCTTTAAATTCGCCGATGATTTGCACACAGCTAGAGAGCGGCCCGGTCGACCTTTAATTAGCATTTTAACATAACATAATTCTATTATATTGTGACAATATTCAATATATATAGTCCGTATTTATTCTGACAATAATTATACACTTATACAACAATGCTAGACTTCACTTGTGCATAATGATATTTTTAGGCCAAATTATCAAAAAACGGATCTTAAATTTATCAAATGTGGGCCCAATTTTTGGAAATATGGGCCCAAATTTTTTTTCTGACTCAAAATTTGACCACTTTGTTAGCTTCTTGATGCGCCAGCAGGCAACAATTGAAAGAAATTTTGAATAAACTGGCAAACCTTTACAATATATCTCTTTGCACTTATTCCTTGTCCTGGCCAATTTCTAAAGGCCTTCCAACAGTTTTGGTTTCAGCTCAGGACAATCATTCAATGTTTAAGTGATCTGAAAGAAAATGGACCAAAGAAAATAGGATCGTAATGAAAACGGCATGTTTGCTTGCTTTTAATTGCTTTTAACATTTTACACTCTGAAGTCTCTACCAATTTTTACACCCCTATCCTTTGAGTTCAACTCATTATAGTTGAGATTTATCGTACTATAATATTGACCACTAACATGTGGTTAAAATACAAATGCCAACATTTCCAGATGTTAGGTGATCTGAAAGAAAATGGACCAAAGAAAATAGGATCGTAATGAAAACGGCATGTTTGCTTGCTTTTAATTGCTTTTAACATTTTACACTCTGAAGTCTCTACCAATTTTTACACCCCTATCCTTTGAGTTCAACTCATTATAGTTGAGATTTATCGTACTAATAATATTGACCATAAACATGTGGTTAAAATACAAATGCCAACATTTCCAGATGTTACTTGAGCGAATATTTGTACAAATCTCGAGATAATTGAATAATATTAAATCAAATATAACATACAAATCTACACAACTTGTAAAACACAATGTACACTAAACTTTTATCGATTAATAATTGTGCTGAAGTTGACGCGTTAAACGCTTAAATTGCGATAAAACACATGTTGAATATCGATAAATTCACAATTTTGTCTGTCAATTTACAGTCTTGACAGAACTATAGCTAAGTGGTGAATTGAGTTGGGTGAGCTCATCTACAGCCCCCATAATAAATTTAGTCACCGCGACGCCTCAAATTAGACAGTTTATTCACTAAATACTGTGTAGTAGGTGAAGGAGTGATATTGGCGAACCTTTTGAGTGTGTGTTTGTAATTTTGAGCTAATGCAGCATGTGTATTGTGTTACGCCTCAGTCACATTAGATCTATACGGCAACCGTACGGAGACCGTAGCTTCCACAAATCGAGAGGAATATGCAGCATAAAATATAGGGATAAGCAGTATGATGTATATTTTCTATATCGATTTTGTAAACCTACACCCACCGTACTGCAAATGCTATTGGGATATAAAAATCTTGATTGATATGCAAAAAAATATGTTGCCTTTACTTTATTTATTTATATTGTGTTTATACTCGTACATTGTAAATAGCCTACATTTCTTGAGTATTATGCGTTGGAAAAACAGATCGTTATCATTTCTACACTCTCCCCAGTAAGTTTTGATTCTTTAAAAATGCAAGAAACGCCTCAATTCTATGTGCTACTCTCTCTTTTCCTCCCAACAAGATTTACTTTAAAAATATATACACTAAAAAATCAATACGCTTTTATTAGAATACTGAATACTGAACTCAATTTTCTAATTTTTACAATCTTGTCGGAAAATGATTACCATCACTTAAAATAAAACCCCAAAGTGATTCATTTTCATTTCAAGTACTCTTGCACCGGGCCACAAAATAACGAAGGGGTCTCATAACTCTCATTAAATTCTAGCTTTTTTTAGACAAAGTCTGATCAAAGCTGGCTGAGAAGAGCATCCACTACTGTTACCATGTTATTGTTACAGTAGTCACGATTGTACACTCCCCATAAATGTTTGATAACCTTGACATTCCATTGGAAAACATGCAAACATGGCTTAAATCTGTTTTTGTCAAAATATGTACCCCTCAAATAGAGCAAAAGAATCAATTGCATGATTTTTATTGCATGAATGGGGGTGCAGTGGTGTGAAAAATAGCTGAACTGTTTTTAATTATTGTACTTGTCATGTTTCAATAGAGAAAAATAAATAAATAGATAAATAAATAAAAAAAATATCTAAAAATATTTTGTTTTAAAGGTATTGAAATGGGAGCGTAAGTGTATCCAAACGTTTTGAGGAGAGTGTATTTAGTCTGCATATTATGGAATATATTGTTCACATATCATTTTACTTTTTTGATTCATTGCCCATCATTAAATGTAGATCATCCAGTGGGTGCCGATTATCAGTTGGTTGAATGTTAAACTTTTCAACAAGAATATCGAGTACAGTTGGCGTTATGAACGCTGGTAGAACTGGCCCAACGCGAATGTTCTTAATCCCAAGGTGCAACAGCGATAGTAGCACGGCAACCGCTTTTTGCTCAAACCACGACAACGCAATAGATAGCGGTAAGGAATTCACATCAGTGTTGAACGCCTTGGCTAAGGCGGATGCCACAACGACAGCCCCATAGGCGTCATTACACTGCCCCATATCAAGAAGACGGGGTATTCCGCTGTCTCCGAGCATCCCCAGATCGTGGCTATTAAACCTGTACTTAGCACAACCAAGTGTGAGAACTATAGTTTCCTTCGGGAGATTGTCAACAATGCTTGTGTAGTAACTACGTTTATTCTCAGAACCATCACATCCACCAACAACAAATACGCGCTTCAATCCACCCGTCTGTACAGCTTCAATAACCTGTAAGGAAAGTAATGTTATATATATATATATATATTTTGTACTTTCACTAAGTCAAACCATGGTGAAACTACTAGTAACTAAATACGTATATTGGTATGTTATTGGTGGAACCATGAGAGAAGAGCTGAGGTACACCCACGTTGAAAGACGCCTATTTACAAGGTTACATTTTTGAACTTTTATTTTTTGATTTGAAATTTAACGTAGAATCATCTAACATCGTATGAAATTCATATACACTCCCCTTCAATAGTTTGGCAATCAGAGAACATAAACAGACTTGAATACACGCTATTCATGGGGAATTCCTGCAAATCATAGAGGGGTAGTAAGCAATTATAAAAGTTACAATTTGTTCTCTATTTTCATCGTAGATCATGATAGTGGTTAAGACTTTGCTAATTGATAAATATGCTGACGATCAATACATAGTGTTATAGTGTGAAAATATGAGTTCATAAAACGCATTTGGCTCGAACCCCTTCTTGATAGGCCTACTATTTCTTTATGCCTCAGTCACATTTGATCTACGACAACCGTACGGCGGCCGTAGCTTCCCAAAATTGAGAGAAAAATAGCAGCATTAAATATAGAGATAAGCAGTCTGATGTAGATTTTCTGTATCGATTTTGTGAAGCTACGGCCACCGTACGCCCGTCGTAGAGAAAATGTGACTACGGCTTAAATTGATTGTTTATACCTTATCAGCGTTGGCAAGAATGGCATCATGTCCGAAGCCAATCGTCAGGACCTTATTATTAGACGCCTTTGCGCTTGTCTCAGTGAACCCACGCATTTCATTGGCGATCTTCAAAACTGGATCAAACGCGTTAGGCTTGTTAATATCAAGGTGAGGCACCCCCGAGAAGCCACATTCATTGAGGGTAAATATTCTGTTTTTGTAGGATTTCAACGGCTCCACAAGACAATTTGTTGTTATGACAATTGGCCCCGGGAAGGTAGGGAATTCAAATTTTTGATTCTGCCAGGCACCTCCAAAGTGGCCCACAAAGTGCTAGAAGGTAAACAAGATAAACAAGTCATCCATATAAAGAGCGCTGCCATTCTCCGTTGCAGGTCGTTCGGTGCGCTCAAGCCTGTGATAGCACTGAACGAATTGCTCGGAAATTGATCCAGTACCATTATTTTATAAGAAACGAGATTCAGATATCGACGTTGAATGGTGACAATGCGGATAGCCAATTGGAATGTATAATGTATCAATTGCAAGTAATAATTGTTTTTTTGCTAATGATTGGACTTTATCACTTTCGGGTGTGTCGTTCTATTTTAAAAGTACACACCCACTTAAAGTTTTGTAACATATAGCCCAGTTTCGCACAAAGTGGTAAAATCATCAAAGTCGTACGCGTGTTCATGTTCGAAATAATTTACCTTAAACTCCTGTAGCTTAGGGTACCCGTGAGCTGGAAGTAACTCCCCGTGGGTGTAAACGTTTATCTCCGTGCCTTCTGTTAGTTCGAGAATTTTGTGCAGATCTTGAATATCGTGGCCAGACACCAGAATTGCCTTCAAAACAAAACACATTCAAAGAATAATCCAAGCGACTCATTTCAGAAAATCGTAGTTTGTACAGTACAGTACAGTACTGTATTGGGTCGTGAATATTTTTCATAATTTTTCCTTTTTGGTTTATGACCAATAAAAAAACAGGGCCTTTCAAATATTGGAAAATATTTGGGTTCAAGAACTATATATAATAGTAATACATACAGACATAACGATGGGCTGATATAATAGGACTGAAAACTCCAAATATACATTAACGATTTGTTTTGTTTTGTTATATGTATGTATGTATGTATTTATTTATTTAAGTGTCACGCCAATATATAAAATTACATATTATTAAAAACTACATAAAATCACTGGCCCTGCCGGTGTCAACCTAAATCAAGCCCGCCATACCTTGCCAGGCACGGGTGCTGTAGACACTTCATGTGGAGTTGGGTTTCCAAATTTCAGCTTGTGTCCTTTGTCTAAGAGTTCCAAGCCTTTGAGGTTCATCTCCCCAACTTTCAGCGCTAGGCCCAAGTTATGAGCGAGGTCATGTCGCATATCTTCGGGGCCATCAATTAGAAAGTCTAAAATCTGAATGTAAGTTACAGTGAAATTGCGAACGTAGTACGTTCCACTGATTTTGATTTTTTTTTGTTCAAGTTATTCCATTATAATAATAGTTGTCATTTGCAACATTAGCGGCCTCTTTACAAAAATAGCTGCATGAAATACCAGAACGAATATGATTGATGGATTACAATAGACATCTGATTTACTTTTAATCATAATTAATTAATTTATTATACTGTGCACTTGACTTGATTCTTACATCAAGTGTGAAGTCTGCAATTTCTACACTGCCTTCTCCAAGGATATCCGCGTGTCTGGCATACGCTGCCATCCCCTTCAGCCCGTAGATTATCATCTGTCTCACGCCATTCAAGTCAGCGCCATAGATTTCTTCATTGCCTTTCACACCAAACTTCTTCCCTAAATATTTATAGACATAGCTCAAACATTTGAGTACCTAGTAGTGACTACTAGTATATGGTAGATTCGATTGATCAATACATATTACATATTTTCATTATTCGGCCAATTAATTTGCAATAAATATCCATTCTCAGGGCCGTCAGATGGGGGGGTGCGATGGGTGCGACCGCACCCCCCTTTGTCACCCCCCAAAATAAATTTGAAAAAAAAAATTTGAAAATTTTTTTTTTTGAAAAATATTTATTTTTATAATTTTTTTTTCATTGACTCATACACTTTGAAAGTACCAAGAAAGCACCAAATAGCATCTTGAAATTGTAAAATTTTCTAGGGGTATTGGCCACCCCTCACACCCCCACAAAACAATGGAAAAGTTCTAAATTTATTTAAGAGTTTTGTCTCAGACACTTTTAAATAGCTCCTTGATATAGTTAGTGTTTCTGGGGGACTTACTCCCCCTCTTGCATCTTGCACTTGCATAACCCCTCCTCCGCCGCCCCCCCCCCTTGACCCCCCCCCCAAAAAAAAAATTGTGATTTTCTCAAATTCTTTAATTGACTCATACACTTTGAAAGTGCCCAGAAAGCACCAAATAGAGTCGTAAAATTGTAAAATTTTCTAGGGGGAGTGGCCACCCCTCACACCCCAAACAAAACAATGGAAAAGTTCTGAATTTGTTTTATGTATTGTCTCAGACACTTTTAAATTGCCCAGACATCATCAAATAGCTCCTTGATAAAGTTAATGATTCAGGAAGACTAACACTTACTCGCCCTCTGGCATCCCCACTCCACCTCCCCCTCTGGCATCCCCCCACCCTTAACACCCCCCTTGACTCATACCCTTTGAAAGTGCCCAGAAAGCACCAAATAGCATCTTAAAATTGTAAAATTTTCTTGAGAAATAGGCACTTTTAAAGTGCCCAAACTCGAATAGCACCTTGATATTGTAAATTTCGATATGGGGGACAAACACTTGCTCCCCCTCTGGCACCCCAGCCCCACCTCCCACTCTGGCACCCCTCCCCCCCTTTGACACCCCCAAAATTTGAAAAATATTGTGATTGTTTTTCAATGTTTTTATTGACTAATACACTTTAAAAGTGCCCAGAAGCACCAAATATCATCTTTAAATTGTAAAATTTTCTAGGAGAATTAGCCACCCCTCACATCCCCCACAAAACAAAAGAAAATATTCTGAATTTCATGTATTGTCTCAGACATTTTTTAAGTGCCCAGACATCATCAAATAGCACCTTGATATGGTCAATGTTTCTGGGGGACAACCCCTTGCTCCCCTACTGGCACCCCACCCCACTTCACCCTCTCATCCTCTTTGACACCCCCAAAAGAATTTGAAAAAAAATCACATTTTTCATATTGACTCATAACGCACAGGCGTACCAGATGGTTGCAAATTCCCTCCAAATACAACCAAATTTCAAAATTTTCCTGGGGGAGAACCCCCAGACCCCCCTCAATGCTTTGTTTTTTAATCACTCAATTCTTATTCCCGTGGTGGTGGCGTACTACTTTGAAACTTACACTTTGAAAGTGCCCAGAAAGCACCAATAGCATCTCAAAACTGTAAAATTTTCTAGGGGGAGTGGACCACTCCTCACACCTCCCACAAAACAATTGGAACGTTTGGAAGTTGCATGCATTTGTTAATTCCAAACCAATATAGGGAGTAACTGACCCCCCCCCCTCTGTCTTACGCGATTTGATTTACGCGGCAAAAAAATGACAATTTTATATTCTCTTTAGTAAGCTAAAAACCGCACCCCCCTTGGAGAAAAGTGTCTTACGGGCCTGATTCTTACCCAGGGAGAAAAATACCCATAATTCACAGATGTACCCATCTCCATAACCTCTCGAGGTTTCCCCTTTTCCTCACCTTCAGCTTCCAAAATGTCCGTTGATCCAAGAGCGCCCTCTGGCGGATCATAATCGGCCGGGCCGGGCAAGACCTCTGGTTTCTGACCCCTCTCTGTGCATTCGTCAAGGTAGATTTTTCTGAGATAGTTTCGAGTATTCAACGCCTCTGATATGTACCCAAGTGGTCCAGAGAATCGTTCGTCGTCAAAATTGACGTTTGTTAGAGTACTTTAAGAGAAGAAGATTAAACATCGTATAAATAAAAAATCTAACGGTGTAAGATTCATTAAGTATAAAGTTATTCATTACATATAAAAATCATATTTTTAAATAATGTTCTTTTACTTGTTACAACCTATACAAAATAGATGTCAGGCACATCTAACGTAGCGTTGCACAGAGGCCTTTCTTTTTTATTAGTTTTTAATTACTATATGTACTTGTACCATTAAAAGATGTCGCACGCTATTTAAAAATAAAAAGCCTTGTTTCTATTTTTAAAACATACGTGCATCACTATCTCACCTGAATAAAGCAGAATATATGAATGTAGAAATACTAGGATCAATAGGGATACCAAACTTGCGTATCCTGTTGCCATAGATACCAATACCGTGAAGTATGTAGACAAGTAAGTCCTGCAAGTGAGCCACTTGGGGCGTTTTACCACATACGCCCACCGTCGTACAACCTTTGCGTCCTTTTGTCTGCTCACATTGGAAACAAAACATAGCTGAAACATGATCATCATTTTAGGCTCGGAATTCTCTGATATATCCGAGTGATGCCATTATTTTTAATATGTCACCTCCAGAAGTGGCGGTGGCATTTTGTTATATTCTCAAACTTTTGTTCTGTGTTCAGTGTCTGTAACAAATGGCTGGTGGTGACATTTTGCATGTTAATGGCTTATTTCAAATCGTCAACCAATATGCAAATTCAAACATGTTGGACATGTTTACACTGATGAGACAAAAAGAAACTTTTAACTTAAAAAAGTATGATAAATGTGTCAAAGGTCTTTTAGATGTGTATGCAACCCCTAGACACGATGGAATGTTTTAGTTTATATGACCATGAATGCTTTTAAAGTACTGTAAATTGTAATAAATAGAAGAACTATTTATTGTACTGTGTTCCGTTGTATCAAAAGCGTTTCCAAATCCAATAAATAAAAAAATTAACAAACCGCGAAAAAGTATATCCCATTCAAATACACCAGACTTAGGTGTTTTGATTTCGTCTTACAAAACCATGTAGGTGTCCAAATTTGGATAAGAAATAAAATTGAATATGTATCAGTTTAGTCTATAAACCCCCTCGAATCTCAGGTCTAATGGTCCGTCATACATAGCCTCTAATACTTTTAAAGTTCTATTGGCGATGTTTATAGCCGATCGTCATGTTTTGGTCGTTAGAACTATGGCATATACATCAATTATTTTTGATAAAAAGTAAGCAAAATAAGTATTTACGCACAATATTTTTTTGACTTGATTAAATGTATTTTTAAAGTGTGTGTACACTTCGCCTTAACCTACTTTAGCATGTCACTATAGGAAACTCATCTGTCGTGTGTCTCCCTATAGCTAGTCACTAGCTCAATTGGCCATAATGTTGAATCAGTGTTTTTTGTCAGTCTTTAATGTGTTAAAATGTTTTAGATATTTTAGTCAGAACAGGCTTAACTCGTTCATAGGCCGGTGGTCAAATAGCACACCGGAATAGCCTGACAACGGTAAAGTCAGATAACGTTGTCACAAATGGCGGACATAACCGTCGTTTCAACTCTTTAATCACTTTGTCCTCATTTCATGGGATTTGTTGTCGCTTATTCTGTGCATGTATTAAGCTCTTGTGATGATGTATCATATGAAATCCCAATTTTGATCAAATTGGGTCGCGAATCGCCACAATATAGCGTCCTCGATATTGTCAATGACAACGGATTCAGAATTTGAAATAATTTACAAAGACAACGGCATATGGTAATACATTGTCCGATGTCCCGTATCTCATTTTGATCGGTTAGATTAAAAATTCGATGGTAGAACCTTGTTGACTGTACAATGAGTATAAAGACACTTTGATTGATAATTGTTCCAAAGGAATTTAGTCTAGGTGCTCTATTAAACATACAGTTCATGAAAATCTAATTGAAGCGACGGTTATGTCCGCCATTTGTGACAACGGTATCTGACTTTACCGTTGTCAGGCTATTCCGGTGTGAATAGGGTACTAGTATTTGTAATTGCCAAACGTTTGAAGGGGAGCGTATGTGAAAAAATGATGTTTAGTATCTGGCCAGGCGGTCGAACATTTTACAAATATTGTCTCCAAAATGGTTTTTCAAGTCATGAAAAATTATAACATATGAATGATTACACTATATTTTCATGGTGTCTTTTACTTAATGCTTTGATTTATACAGAACACTTTGACCTATAATAAGTTGTATTTTCTCAGTAAAACATTTACACCAGTGAAATCATAAATTCAACAACAACCTGTTTTTAATATTTCCATAATATGACCTTGAAATTAAGTAGAACATAAACACGTGTAATTTACTTGGCGTTTATTGACTTGTTGTTTATTACTAAAGACAGTAGCTAGGCTAGCCTAATGTTTTAAGTTAAAAATCATTATCAAATAAGTCATTTCCACTAGATCACGTTTGTTTCGAGTATCACTAGCAAAATATCACTGAATCAGAAATAGATCTACAAGAATAAAAGACGCAACGAAGAGTAAAACTTAAAGGTGCAACGGAACAAATTAACATGTAAATTGTCACCTCCTGTCGAACACCGTCAGAAAAAGTTGGAGACCATCTACATACTTGTATTATAACTATGTATGACATGTCACCACTTTTGGTGGTGATATATAAGCTATTGATTGCTAGCTCTATTAGAGCAACTTTAGTAGTCATGTATGTACACGCCTGAAAGTGAAAGCAGAGTGCAGTTGTAAGCTTAAAGAAATGCAGCTGAGAAACAAGTTTGATATTTATAATGTTTTTATTGGCTTGTATGCAAGCCTAGGCTTTTATGCTTTCAACATTCATTTTAAATGTGCAACAGTAGCCCACCGATTTCACTTTAGGTCTGTCCCAAATTTTGAAAAATGAACGTCCCCTGTTCAGTCAAATGAATTTGGACGTGCATCTTAGCCCAACTCTTCAATTATTTCCATATAGGCTATCAGATGACAAATTTTAAATACGAAACATTGAGCTTACCCGGTTCTTCCTGAGATGCTGCGACTGCAGTGGCAAGACTTCGACGTTGGACGGCATAGTTATCGGAGAAACAGAACCCTGGTGATGCGCATATTCTTCCAAAGTTCTTACGTTCTAGCTGCAGCACCCTCGGCGACCTAACGACTGACCCTAAGGCATTAATAGCTGTGCGTAGTTTAGACGCGGCCATGTTGTGTTGAAACTATTGTTGGCCTCTTTATTAACCTAAAAACCTTAGAAATAATGCTAACCTTGTTTAATGGTTAACCTCCCATCCCCATGGAAGCGCTGCACGTACAACATGTAATGTAATTCAGTCAAATGTACGAGACTGTCGAACACAAATGTAATATAGACGGCATTCAGAGCCATATTAGTGGCCTGATTGGATGTGAAGGCCACAATTGCTACACTGTCATTAATTTACTGAGAAATTGCTTCCTCGCTCATAAACAACAAGAATACTTTGAATATAAATGTAATAAGCCTATGTACTTTTGCAGTACAATAACAAAGTGATGCCAGTGCCATCTTTCTATAAAACAATTCATGATATAAAACAATTTATGTATCTCTAATTACCCAAATGCGAGTAGGTAGTTACCAGTTTTACCACCAGATGGCTGATTCGGGTCAATTAACATGGCAGGTATATAAGAAAGTTCCCTTAAACTTGAATATTATCAATTTAAGTGGCTCAATTTTCATATAATCCTTATGTGTCTGATACTTATACTAATGAAAATATGTCCAGTAAAGCAAAATATTATCTGTCCACTCAAAGAAAAGATATTTCATTTTTTGTGATTTTATAGCATGGGGTCTATGGGGAATCTCCCCGAGCTAGAAGTCACATTTTCAAAGAAAATTAATTTTTCAAAGTTGATAAACACTTTTTAAAACCACATTTCTAGATGTAATTTTACATGTAGATTTCAAATATGATATTACTTTGACTGAATTTTGAATTTTTAATGACGTAAATCAAGATTATTTCTACTCGCATCTGGGTTATTGAGAGGCCTAACAAAAGTTAGACAAATAATGAGATGACTGTTGGACTGGTCGGGTACAACAGTGTTTTTCTGCATACTTCTTGACCCCGGATTTTTACTGGAAAAAAAATTAATAATCTGGCTGGTTCCAATGGGAGTTATGATGCTATACCTGAGATATGTAGATACATGTATCTCTATCATCAAACATAAGATTGTGAATTGAGAGGGCTATAGCTAACAAAAGTTGGACCAAAATGAGAAGAAATTTTACAAATATGTTAGGTAAGCTTATACACCCTTGATATTGACCTACGTAGCCACATATAATGGGCAGGTCGGGTACAATAAGGTCTTTTCTTTTTTTACGAAGCAGGCTAACTTTTTTTATTAGAAAAGGTGACACTTACCACCCGTATTCGCCCTTCGCTTGAAAACATGTCAAACATAGGCACTGGTGATCCGCTCGATTACGCTGGTTACTTAAACGGTTAGTTTCGGTAACAAAATGTCGGAACGTCGAAGGTACGATTTTTCTTTTTTCCCTATTTCACGCGTTGTAGGCAGAATCCAGAATCAGTATCATATGTTTTAGAAAAGGTACATGTTTGCAAAAATAGCTCAGAAGACAACAGAATCGTCGATTTAATTCCTCACTTAAGTTACAGAAACGGTATGGGTTAAAAGTGCAGATCTTAACTGTTTTTCGAAATATCGTTTCTGTAACTTAAGTGAGGAATTAAATCGACAATATCGCAAATATGTACATTTTCTTAAACATATGATACTGATATACGTTTGTGATAGAAAAAGTCGTGGGAATTCTGCCTACACCGTCCACAGTATCGAAGTATCATTTTTAAGTACTAAGTACATTTAGTATTCCTTTTACATTATCGTTTAAACCGTCATTAATACAAGGGCTATGAATGACTATATTATCTTGCTGATGAATATTATCGAACACATGAATTAAAGTATTTTTATCAAATTAATTGAATCTGAAGTCAATGCTTGCTGAACTTTGAAATAATCTATGCTTTTCACTAGCCAGGTCATGGTCAAAAAGTACCATATATCAAAAGTATTTAAAAGTATTAACCCCACCTCATTGACATCTGAGATTAACAAGGATTATACCCATATATCTTTATCCAAATTAGGCACATTTTTTAAAAGCCGAAATAATCTTCCGATTAATTATTCGTTATCGAATAGAATGCACTTGACACTATACGATTTGGACTTAACATTACAATATATATAAAATTTGGAACGCTTTTAATATCCGCATTTTCGGAGATATGGCACGTTTTGGCGAGTCTATAATTGTAATTATCTCACGGTCACCAAAGTACTAAAAACAGGCATTCATCATTTTTATATAATTTTGAATTAAGTCCTTGGTGATTAAAAATTCATCACAAAACGTGCATGTCTCACGGGCAATATCGATCGTTATAGCTATGGCGGAACAACCATTATTTTATTTCGCAGCGTGTGTTTTCATTTTACACGCATCATGCGCATTCTCAGGTCATCTTATACCTTCTGTAGCAGGGCAAGCAGAGAAGACATTACTGAACGGAACAGCGAAATACACGAATTCGAACGAACAGAGGAAAATAAGCGAACTATCTGTACCATGCGCATATACAATTGCGCAAAACTCAAAAGTTAAATTTACGGAATTAATAAATGAAAGAAATGTTAACTTTATGTACATAAAAGTGAATTTTTCGAGGAAAATAGAAGTAGCACGAATGAGAAGGCAACGAATGTTTTCCCCTGGCTACCTTGTTTGGACATATAAATCTTCCCCCGGGGCGGGGTACCCTTTACTCAGCTACCCTTATGACGTAAAGGTACTCTCGATTGGATTCCTGACATGGTACGTCCACGAATATCAACCGATCCATATTGACGTTGCTCCCGAGGAATGCTATGCAGAATGGGGAGACGAAGATACAATGGAGCGCCTACTTTCTACATTAAGGGATTTGTCAGATCAAACAAAGCATGGACAGACAACATCGTGGTGTTATGGGATAAAATTCCGATGGGACTGGATGAACAATATATTCTACCGTTTTGTTCGACGAGATTTCACGGGATACATGTGCAGTACGTCACCGGAAAATCCGTCTCAGTTCAATGAGGTGATACAAGAAACTGAGTTCCTATTCTTCTTGCAAATCTGCAGCGTAATAATATTTTGCTACAGCCCACTATTGTTATATCTGTTCGATGAGAATCCTGGGGACAAATCGAATACTACAAGCAAGGTCACCAAGGATGCCAATGATCACCAAACGGTTCGAGAGGATGCCGAGGACGGCACTAGCGTTAGCTGCAGCTGTCGACAGAATACTGTTGGTATCGATGAAAACGACTATTTTTTCGAAAAGGGTGAACCACCGATAAGCATTTTTAATCCTTTCAACTGGTGTGCTAAAAAAATCAAAAATACTACGAAATCAAAGCCGAATGTAGGTCTATTCCTAAAATGTATAACACGAATTTCTGTTTTGATAGTTGTTGTTCCAATTGTAATCTATACCCGGATGACCGTTTATTACTTTCTGTTGAGAAACGGCGTGCATGCTCGAATTGAAGAGGATATCCCAGTTGGATTTCTCGCGATTCCATTTGGGTTTGAAGCAAGCAGAAGAAACTGGTCATATGTTATGGGCGGGCCTTATGTGATTTATGGGTTGTTTTTCGCATTAGCCGGTACAGTTATCTGCGTGACTAATGACCTTGCAGGGACCATTTGTAAAAGACTCGAATCTCGAAATCGACCTGGGAATTTTGATCCTCCGAAGCTTAAAAAAGTGAACGAAAAGATAGTACTCGAACCATTTCTTAAAGAAAACGCGTCTGATTTACTTGAGCGCATGGATAGCGCCGATATCGAGATTTTAGGTGGAATAGAGTATAGAAAGTTAAACGACAGCTTTGGTAAATTTACAAAAGCGTTACAAGCGCGATTGTACATGTTGTTGAATACTGTATTCTGGGAACATTTTATCAAAACCTGGAAAGAACGACTAGCGATCATTTGGGTTTCCTCACTCGACAACTCTCCCTGTTTCAAGTGGTTATTATTCTGTTTATGCTTGATACCATGGTCGATCCTGTGTTTTATTGGTTTTATGCTTGACTTGCTTTTGTGCTTGTTCATTTATGGTGTTCCAGTTGTCTTTTTATCGAAAACTCTGTTCATAAATTTCATCTATAAGAGCCTGAAAACACCCTTGCACTATATTCGGTGTTGTTTAAACATTGAAGACGATAACCACTTTCGTTTTCCTGATGACACACATTTTTGTAAAAAGGTACTTGCATGCGTGATTTTCGCGCCATTTGTCCTTTTTATGAGCGCAATTTACATTTATATACTTTTTTGCTTTTATAATATATACATGGCGTCGACAGGCTACATTTACCAGACAGTCGTTTTCACATTTATTGGTATCGTCGCCCATCCCTCCGAGGCGGCCACATATATTGCGCTTGTAACTGCCATCTGTGCTTACATTTGGAAAGCGATCGGCCATTACGAAAGTCGTTACACAGACCTGCTAGAGAGAGCAGTAGAAATATCATTACGAATAAAAGAATCTATATCGTTGCAGTGTGTAGTATACAGCAACAATGACACCGGGATCAAGAAAAATCTGTACTTTCATCTTGTCGACACACATAGGCCGATAAGGGTAGAACTTTTTCTTTCACTATTGTATTTATGCGTTGTCATTTCTTTCCTATGGTTGGGTATACGCGTGGTTCAGTTATACAATCAGCTATCCGAAATAAACGGTGTTATTCAATTAATATCATCTTTCCTTTTGGGGTTTATTCCCCAATTAATTGAACTAAGTCTTAAATCAAAGGAACCTCGGAAAGGCGCAACTACAGAGTTCGACGAAAAGTTAAAAACCAGTATTAGGAAATACTGGGAAATCCCGGATGACGTGGGAAATGATGGAGGGAGAGATGATCAAGATGAAACAAACGCGTAATAATCGCCGCATAGGAGGATTGTCTATGCCAGTACATAGAGATCGATTATTCTATGTGAGGTACAGGATATTGGAATAATCCCGAGACGAATATAATATATCTGCCCGGGGCCATAAGTCCCGAGGGTAGATATATTATATTGGCAAAGGGATAATGCCAAATATTCTGAACCGACTATAGGATGATCTGTTTATCCTATACCAATCTTGGTCATCTGGGGCCCGTTCTTGTACCGTTCGTTGTAGCGAACGGTCGTAAGTCTATTGTTAAATTTTCGAATTTCATAAAGTTGCATTTCCGCACCATTGATAAAGTTATGAACGATTCACAAGTTTTTAAAAAATTATGAAAATAGGGACGTCATGCCTCAGTGTTCGCGCTAGCCATTTAAATTTCTGAGTCCCAAGGACTCAACCTATTTGAGTCCCGTCTAATTTTTTTGCGTCCCTCATATTTCTTTACAAAGTCCAAGAAAAATATTTTGGAAGTGAAAATAAAGTGGGTGATAATAGAGTGCTTACACTAAAACGGGATAAAAATGACATATATTGTAATTTGATGCATCCTCCCGATAAATATCTATCATTGGGTCCTATTCACACAATTCTTAAGTAATGTTATACCAAAATAGTCCGAAATGAATGAAGGAAATGCTCAAATTAAGAGTTCTGTTTTTACATTTTACCAACTCGCGATCTTCAAGGTCATGTCAAGGTCATGAACTTTTGCTTCTTTTTATTAACATTTCTCCTTATTCTGACGACTTTTAGATGAAAAACCTTGATCTATCATTAAACAATTATCTTGAAGTATAATATTAGATCGACATATAATGGTCTCTAGTGGAAATAATAAAGATAATCATGAAAAACAAGTCTTTCAATTCGTGGGGCACCACTGGGGATTTCTGCAATATTGTATGTTTTGATCGTCCATTTCGATTTCGGCGTTTTCCGGAATACATCGGAACCAATCAAAATCAAGATTTGTCGACGTATATTTTGCCAAATAAGTCATCGATGCAACACGATAAACTTTTGATTTTAAGTATCATAATTGAGTTTTCACATAAACCAAAGGAGGACAGTGCTTTTATTTCAACTGGGAGCTTACCTCCACACGACTGATCAAGTGACCATGGTGGTGGTCCCCTTTAAGGGAATTTTGTAATACCCTGCCATGTTATTTCCCCCGAATCAGCCACCTGGTGGCGAAACTGGTAACTACCTACTCGCATCTGAGTAATTGCGAACGTTTGTTACTACAAACGGTACAAGAACGGGCCCCTGGTTCACATTGTTCAATCCGCCCGAGTTAGAAAAATGCACCAACATCCGAACGGCGATTATGACGTAGCGGGCAGATATAATATGTTTATAATATACTATAAGTTATTCAATGATTCGAGTGAAATACAGAAAATATTCTTCCCGAGAAGGTTGTATTTCACGATGGGCTAGCAGAGTGAAATACAAACGTTCAAGGGAAGAATATTTTCTGTATTTCACGAGAAATCATTGAATAACGTTTTTGTTCCATGATTACCCATATAAAACTCGCCTAAATCAAGTCCCTTGGCTTGGAGCCGGAGAAACAGATCAACCTTCTCACCTCAGAGATATTTTACATCGATATTCCTTCAAAATCTTTATGGCCTTGTTTGCTTTTTATTGTATTATACGAGACGATTGATTTTCTTTCTTTTTTCTTCAATTTCATCAGCTGGAAGTGCAGTAAAATTTTCAGAATGTTTTGATGACTGGTCTAAGAGAAACGCGTGTTCAAAAAGTTCACCATATCGATGCCATTCCTTTTCACAGGATAAACATTCAACATTGCTTGTAAGGTGACATAAATTATTTATCAATTGAATGAAATTTACAAAAATACAGATGTTTATGTTTATGTTTATCATTCTTAATGTTATGTTTACATAATCAATGTTTGATCTATTTGATCTCCAACAATATATATAGTTCCAAAATTATGTGCTCAGTAAAAATGAATTAAATGTTTTTATGCAATCATTTTGTAAAGATAAATTAACAGAAAATAAAATGAAAAAATTAGAAAAGAATAGAAAACAACAACTTTTAGATGGCAACCATAGAATAAATATGATATCCTATGATTTTCTCTTGGATATCGCCGATCTTCACTCATTCGCTACGCTCACTCATGGATAAAAATAGTATCCCTCAAAAATCATAGGATATCCTCTTTATACGTAAATGTAATTACGTACTGACTATTTGAATTTAAGGATTTACAAGATGAACTTACTGTTATTTTATTTCGATTTGTAACCTTGTTCCCGTGTTTTCCAAATATGTATCGGATAATTAATATCTGCCTATATTTTAGCGAATTTGAAAACGCTTTTTGTCAAGATATTTATAACAAATATTTAGATTTACATGTAGAGCAATTTTGCAAGTTTTGATGAAATTTAAAAAATGTAATTTTGAACATTGATTATTATAAATGAATTGTAACACTTTAACATTGATACACTCCCCTCCATAAGTTTGGCAACCTTTTTTCCCCCATTGAACTACGTGTTAAAGCCTCTGTACCTTTGAATTTTTATTTACTTAACCTGCGATGAAAATACTTATACTATTGATAGAAACGTAATTTGACTTTAATTCCAATACCTCCAAATTTTCTCAATTTTTTTCCTCAATTACAATAGGTCGAAAATTGATGATAAATCTGATGAATTTTTGAAAATCGACATTCCCATGTTAACCAATGGGAAATGGTAGGTTTGCCACAAGTCATATGACAGAATATCCATCCATCCGAGTCCTTGCAAAAAATACGAGTTAGGCAGGCAATTGAATTTGCTAACTTTATTTAACAAAAATTGATATGTTTCTTCAGGTTCAACAAAGTTATAGGGCTTTTAAGTCAAAATTGTTTTTCAAAAAACCTCTCCCATTGAAATAACACAGGAGGCGAAAAATTATTTTCAAAAATGACTTTGAAGCGCTGTAACTTTAATATTCATCAAATAAACTAAACACTTAGCTTTCAAAAAAGTTAGACAATTCAATTTTCTATATAGAAATATTTTTTGCTGAATCTTTTACTGAAAAGATATCCTGATTTCTGATTAGCCCCGAACCCTTCATTTCCCATTGGATTACATGGGAATGACGATATTCAAAAATTCATCAATTTTATCATCAATTTTTGACCTATTGTAATTGAGGAAAAAAAATTGAGAAAATTTGGAGGTATTGGAAATGAAGTCAAGTTACGTTTCCATTAATATTATAAGTTATTTCATTGCCGGTTGAGTAAATAAATATTCAAACGTAAAGAGGCTTGAACACGTAGTTCAATGTATGTTAGTTCGAAATTCTTCTCATGTGTTTGATGTCAATAAAAATATGTAATTTCATAAGTATAAGCGTTTTTAAATTACACATTATGTTTATCTCTATGTTTAAAAGCGATGACTTCGCTTTTATTTCATTAGCTGTATTATATAAATATAAGCTGTGTATTATATGAATAAATGTAACTTCTTTGAAATTGGAGTTTTATTGAGTAAGAATTATATCATGTACTATTGAAGCTGTACAAAATTAGAAAAATTTTATATCTTTAGAATAACGTAAATTGTTCATGTAAATGCATTTAAAGATGAGAGTCCAATGATCGATTGAAATCCTGTAAGGCCTGGGTTAGTTGGTATTTCGTCGAAGTACTAGCATTTTAAAGCTGATGATATATACAATATAATACACGTGTTTATAATGAGATAATCAGGCAATGTTTTTATGACCTAATTGACGAACACTTTCAGAATAACCAAACGTATACGCAACTTTTCATCACATCAAGTTTAAGAATATTGCGAAAATTCCAGATTTTTATTGGAGTTCAACGGGAAAATGACAATATAATTATTCAAACATTGTGGATAGCTAGGTATGATTTTTTTACCGAATACAAATGGTGACAAATAGTTTCAGTTATGGAGCAGTGTTCTCATTCATATCGAAAAATCGTTTTATAGCGTACGGTCCCATTTTACACACGGACATCGGTGGTTTGGTCAGTGGATTGCCATCTATGGTGGCCGATACACAATCTTCGTTCCAGTCCAGGTTAACCAAAGAGCCGAACTCCCGTGGTAATTCCGTCAAGGAATTCATGCCCAACCAGACTGTCCTTAAATTTTTCAATTTACAAAATCCATTTGGCAACGCCTTAATGTTATTCATGAACAGTAAAAGAGTTTGTAACTTCTTAAGGGATCCAATGTCATTCGGTACATCAATGATTCGATTGTCACTTAGGTCTAAAAATTCCAAACTTTTTAAACTAAGGACAACCGAAGGAAATGTCTCGAATTGATTATTCGCCACGTGTAAACTGCTCAACCTTTGAAGTTTTTCAAACTCAATCGGTAACGTTGACAACAAATTGTTGCTAAGTGATAGTTTTTCAAGGTTGCTAAGCATGGATATTTCCCTTGGTAACTCTATGACGTCATTTGTATCCAACATAAGTATTCTTAAATTCACTAAATTACCAATTCCGGGCGGGATTGACCTTAGTTGATGAAACAGACAGGTTTCCCTCTCAGGGCTTAGATCGAGCACCTCAAGTTCAATCATGTGGAATACTTCCTTTGGGGTGGCTGAAAGTTCCCGTCCACCAATCTTCAGTTTTTTCATACCCATATAAGGAGGGTCATTTGTGACCACAAGGTAGCGCAGTTGCTTCAGTACGTGCTGGTTCAGTAATGGCATTATACAGTCTTTTAGATTTGCTTGCTCTTCAATTCGTAATCCTCATTGTTTGTATATTTTCATAAATGTTCCAGAATGTGATAGTTCAAACAGAAGGCATCTTTGCCTATCCTATCCAATATTCTCATCTAACAACTTGATTATAGATTCAATTGTGAAATATTTTTCTGTAGAATCAAACTCTCCGTGTTCTATGTTAATTGTTTCTAGGCCTTTTCGAAACCATTGCAACGAAAACCTTTTAAAATGGAAGCCTGGAAGACATTTAGCGCAGATTACAAACTAAAAACAGAAAGGAAAAGATTAGTTGCTGTGGAGATCGTTGTTATTTTAATCAAAAGTCTCTCCACAAGTCTTTTGGCGATAAATCGATTTTGTCAAATTGTCTGCCGTGCGAATTACTCAATATAAATTAATGAATATTTTTAGAGGAAAGTTGATAGGTCTGCAAAATCGTACGTTTCTATCATACAAAACGTTCAATCAATATCCATTCTATCCACAAGTATCTACTTGCAAAAAATAAGTATGCCGATCGTTTTAAATCTGCTTAACTTCCGCTCCAATTGTTACTACAGCAATGTCATATTATTTGTATCTGATTTATGACTGAAATCTGTTGCAGCTATTTTAACATCTACCATTAGTATTTATTATTCGATTCCTATGTGACAATCCCCACTTTGACATATACGTAACTGGTATTGGAGATTTATATTTGTATTTGGTATAAATAATACTTTATCTAAATATCACAGAGTTACCGTTTGTGTGTGGATCAATTGGGTTTTGTTAACATCACTTCACAATGCGAATATCTTAAATCAATATGTACAACCTATGCTATTTATAACATCACTTGGTAATGATTATTTATTCTGCTCCTTTTTAGATTATTAATCAGTTATCATCTTAGGTTTCTACTCATGTGCTAGGATCGTCTATATAATGATTTGGTAATTCACTCATTCCACTGTTCGTTATAGTTATGCATTTAACATCAGGACACGTGACATTTCACGCGAGAGTCTGCATTGTGTATTCGTGTTTACTATAAAAATGATAAGATAAATCATGTTTATCAAATGATAACAAATTATTTCCTCCGAGTTAAGATGCCCATACACGTGTTTGTTTAGTACAGTTAGAATAGTTTTAAGTTTTAATCGCTATGTCCTTGTCATATCGATCATACATGTATTCTAAAATGACTTCGGGTGTCATTCATCGGTGAACAAACAACCAAACCGTTTAAAATATAAATCATTGCTTTTAATACATAAGCTTATATGTAATCGACTTCACCATATTATGTACATGTACGTTTCTTCCATAAACAGAATTCTGTATGAATAAATAGGGAAAATATTATTTGGAAAGTCACCTGTGTTAAAACATTTCCTTCCATGTTTTAGGATCCATTACCTCGTCTTCCGCTTGCTATTTTGGGACTTTGGGAGGGGGGGATTTCCCAAAAATGAGCGATGGTATTGGCACGTTTGATAACCAATTTTATAAACAGGCCTCATTTGCCATTGATATTGATCTCAGAATGTTCACTGTTGCTAAATGAGTATCCTCTACACGTTTGGATTGAGTAGCTTAAATAGTATTACCTTAGTTTTGAAATGATGATGTTGAACTGATGTTAATGTTAAACCGAAATAAAACCATTTCCACGATTTAAAATTTACTTTGCGCAAGCGCGGCTCTGAGAGATCACGTGCTCGTGATTGTTCACGTGATCATATCCTGCAATTTGATTGGACTTCATACAATGATGGGCGTGATTTGAATAAATTATGTTCATGAGTATGAAAGAATACGATATAATTATGAGAACTACTCACTTCTTCTGGGACTTTAACAAAGGAATTTCGAAGCCACCCTACTAATCCACTTTTGGTCCCCGAATAGGAGTGCCTAGCTATCATACTTCTCTTGCTGGTAATATATTCTATTTTCTTATTTCTAAGAACATCAAGTCATGATTAGGTTTGGCAACCTGTAGTCACCTTTTTGATAACTTATTAAATCTTTAACGCCCATTAAACATTACAATGTTCGGAATGTATACACAAAATATATGTACTATTGTAAAAGTGGGTAATATCATGTAATGTATAAATATTATGTAATTTCTTGTTATCAAAATAAACAAAAATAGGTGGCTGCGAAATGGCCAAATTACCAAATTACATTTAGATAAATTCATTGATTTAGTTGGAAGAGGGGATCGAGTCTGTTAATATTTGGCGATTTAAAAGAATTATTTAATTTTATCGTAAATGCGAACTATATATTCTAAAATATAATTCTAACTTTCGGTTGCAAAACTTATAGAGTGGAGTGTAAGTAATTTGTTTTGGCTTTCATCAATCGGAACTTTCGGTAGTTTAGAAAATACAACACCAAGAAAATGCATGATGGGGCTCCCAGAGGGTATACACATTTTTCACCAAGTGCTTTTTTCGTAGTTTATGCATGTAGACACATATACCCTATGGGAGTAGAAGTTCTGCTCGATAGCCGATTTTCAAAATGGCCGCTCGTTTCAAAATGACGGCCATTTTAGTGACGATTTTACAGTAATTTAGGTACAGTATATAAAACTGTAATAGCAATGAGTTTTAAAAGTAAAAAAAAGTTAATATATACATGTAGCACATTATTCAAGCTAGACATGTAGATATTTAAGAAACACATGGCAGCAATCTTAAAAAATGGCGGCTTTTACACATGATTTTACAATTTTTGCTATAACTTGAAAAGTAGTGGAGCGATTTTGTTCATATTTAACACTGGCACACTGTTTTATGATATTTTGGCAGGAAGGCGGCCATTTTGAAAATGGCCACCATGCTTTTACACGCTATTTTACAATTTTTGCTGTACTTGAAAAGTAGTGGAGCGATTTTGTTCATACTTGATATGTGACTACTTATTAGCATGGCACATTGTTCTATTATGACATTTTGGCTATTAAGGCGGCCATTTTCAAAATGGCCACCATTTAACGTGAGTTATTTTAGATTATATATATTTTGCAAGTGGATCCAAGAGACCAAGTGGGCGAGTCAATTATTTTGCAGGGGTGGCATGATACACACATTTCAATGTTGTATAGTGAATTCCCAGTGATTGATTTCAGTACAGTAAAACTGTCATAGTGAACACCTCTTTAGTGAAGATCTGTGCTCAGTGACATGCCTCTACTCTATTGAACATCTGTGTATAGTGAACACCGATTCCGTCCCAGCCAGTGATTTCAGTACAGTAAAAATATCCTAATGAACACCTCTTTAGTGAAGATCTGTGCCCAGTGAACACATGCGTCTACTCTATTGAACACCTGTGTATAGTGAACACCAATTCCCATTTCCCAGTACAGTAAAACTGTCATAATGAACATCTCTTTAGTGAAATACTGTGCTAAGAGCTAAGAGCGTTCGGATTAGGAGGTGTTCACATTTTGAGGTTTTGCATTTGCAAGATTTGGGATTTTGAAGAAATAGAAACAAATTCTCAATAAATATTATAGTTCTTTTGACTACTTAGCTTTATGGCATTACAGTGACATGAAAATCTGATTCAAATGAATTTAGTCATCCTAGAAAGCCCCACCATGAGTGAGATCGTTCAAGTTTTTCAAATATTTGATCAATTTTGTATGGAACATGTAATATTTTATGCGTTCAGATTAGATAGGTTAATTTTTTAAACATGACTGTTCACTGTCCAAATTGGGAGGTGTTCATATTTCAAGTCTTTTTAACATTTGAGTCAATGGGAGGAAAAACGGGACCAAAAAATGTTCAAATTGGGAGGTGTTCGGATTAGCCAAGTGTTCAGATATACAGGTTTTACTGTACTACAATTGTTTTCAATCTTTTGAAGGAAAGTGTACATCATTCCAGAGAAATGACAGGTGACACACTGTCATGGGAACTGGTCATATCAGATGTTCCCACGCTTTTCGTCCAGAAGAGGTCATTTCCCAGGATTATAGATGAACCTTTGGTCAATCAATGATATAGTTTACATAAGAGAAGTATGACTGTATGAATTCTGGGATATTCCTGTTTTGTTGAGACAGGTGAGAATAAAATTAACCCTTTGCAAATTTGATCAAAACTGCCTCCAATCATCCAATACTTGGCTCAGTTAAAATAGTTGATTTATATTTGAATTCGATAATAACATTTAAAAATTAAATTTGTAGTAGTAATACTTTACATGTAGTACCTCTGATTGTATAACACATTAAATCTGCGCATTAAATGTTTGCGTTTTCCATTTACATCATTAATTTGCGTCATTTTAATTTTGCGTTCTGTGCCCATCGCGAATTATGCATGTATCAATTTAAATGAGATTCCCCGGGGATTGTTTGACCACATATTTGACTCGGCCAATAAAGAATTAATTCTATGAATAGCGCTTTGTTTATAATAAGGTTAATCGCCGCGAGTAAGCTTACGTGACGTCATTGACTGATTTGAGACCTGACACGCTAAGCTCAAACTGCCAAACAAACTAATTACCCTGAATACCGACGCCTACCTTTGTTTTTTTGTGTTTTACTGATCCAATATATCCCATAAGTTTTCAATACAAGTATGCAATCAAATGGAAGGTGAATGTTGGTGTATTTAAAAGTTATAATTTTATTCAGTCTAGAAACGGTCAAGAAATGGCAACGACTCCAGGGGAAAAGCTACAACGTCGCCAATAATTTTCTGCTCAAAAAACTTAACCGGGACTTGTTATATAAAAATATGTTAGAATCGATTAATCGATAATTGATCAATTAATATTTTTCGATAATCGATTAAGAAATGTACCACGGGTGCACACCACTAGTTCTCATGGATACTTGGGAATCCTACATGACTGATACTTGGATTCTAATTGACTTCAGAATAGTACGCCGATCAAATTACAAATCTATGTATGGAGGAAATCACTGATGATTTATCGTAAGTTTGATCTGGACGTTTGACTTGTTTTTACATGTTTTAAACAACAATAACAACAACAATAGTTTTTTTTATGGTATGATGTTTTATTTTACAATATGAAGCAATAAACACGATGATTATAAACATATTTGTTTTATTTCCTGGTTTGCAAACATCAATACATTCAAGGTTGACTGTTTACAAAAATAACCCTATGGTAAACTTTGGAAATGGCGCCATCACATTTAACAATTTTCATTTTATGGCTTAGCAGCCTACATATTTATTTCGCTACACGATGAATTTGCGAATACATACCCTCGCGAATTTACGCAAATTCATCATGCACGCGAATACATTGTGTTTTAAGTAATAATACTGGATGAGCGTGGTGTAAAAGTGGTTTTGAAAAGTAGCAAATTTTTCTTCATGTAGGTTATTTGTGGTTTATTATTATACATTGATTCTGAAATCACTGGTGTCTAGTTTTTCAGCATTTTGGAAATATTCAGATTTATACCCCCCTGGTGTAATTTAAGGGGGGTACTTGGAAAGCCATATATCATTCCTAGAATATACAGCCAATCATCTTGATTTTTCCAGGTAATCATGTACTTATCATGTCCTACCATTATGACAAGTTTCATTAAAGTTGATTGACTGGTTGCTATGGAAATGGAGATCATATGTTAAAAAGTACACATTTTCGTCAAAATGTAAGATACCCCATGAGACAA